TCATAAATAGTTGATGACAAAAATGAAAAAGTGTAGAAGTAAAATTCAGATCCTAACGATCAAAGTATTGGGTACCTCATCTATCACAGCTTGGAATAAACATATCACAGAAAGTGTCATATCTCATTGACACTGCAAAACATAATGCTTTCCCTTGTTATCTAGCGAGCTGCCAAGGCTACAGAGTTTATAGGCTGCTAAGATAATGTGCTGCTGGTAATCCACTTCACTTGCAGAAATATGAAGTACTGTTGAAATATATTTCTACTTGGTTTATTCTTTGCTCTCCAGAGGGTAGGATGCTATTTCAGTTCCTCTAAAGAAGCTCAGAGAATGAAAAGCAAAACATCAGGATAAATTATGCTAAATGGTGGACTAGACCCCAGAGGAAATCATGCTTCTGTGGTACAGTATTCCTCCATTTATCTTACAAATGTTACATCTAATGTTAATTTTGTAAAGGGAAAGCATTCAAAGGTCCATCTGATCCTTTTAATAATAGTTTTAGTGCTATAGTGTTATTTGTCAAACTCCTGCCATCATAACTAACTTTCCTACTTTTGGCAGACCATTCATACAGAAAATATTTTGGGCTACTAATACGTAACATTTTATTTCACAAAACACAAATAACCTAGTAATTACACTCCAAAACTTAACAAATAATTGCCAGCAAGCAATTACCATTCAATTAAAGAGTAATTACATGGTTATTTGTGCCCTGTAAAATAAAGCATTACTGAAATCAGTAGTGCAATCAATATTTTAGCAGAAACAGGATGCTGCAGTGATGGACCTTTCAACCTGTGCTGATTAAATTGTCATCCAAATAACAGTTTCCTAGTTAAATCACCACATGTTTATTTGTCTTGATTAATATGCAAATTCTCTTCTGATTCTAGTAAATCTCCTATATTTAAAAGCACAAAAGTAGAGCACTATCATACATCAGCAGTGATGTGCTGCATATTTCCACTGATTAATTACATTTACAAAGCATTGATGAATTTGTGGATTTGGTGAAATTTGGTTGTCTATAATGAGCATAAAATAGAGTTACAAAAGATGGAGCTGATCAGTAACTGTAAGAAAATCACAAAAATAAAACATTACTTCATGTATTGATTTAAATTAAAAATCCTTGTGATATCAAGGGAATATATAAAACTTCAAAAGAAAAAATAATAAAATTAGCTCTCAACAGGAGTGGAAAATAAAGAAGAAAAGAGACATTAATGAACAATTTCTCAGCATTTTCCTGTATGAATTTCAACTGTCAAATATACTGCTCAAAATGTAATTTATTTTCTGACAAATTTAATTTCAGCCAAAATTTAAAAAATGAACAACATTCAGATTCGTTCATTTTTCTCTTTCAAGAGTTAGTGATTTTGTGGGGTGGAGAGGATGACAGTGATGACTTTATAACCATGGTGTAAATGCAGCTAAAAACCCAAAACCTGCAGTCATCCTCACTTTCAAGTAATGGGTGACCCAAAGAGTTTTTAGGTTTGAGAAATGCCAATCAAATGTTAATCAGTATTTATTTTGTTTAGTAAAAATAATAAATTTCTTGAAGTTATGCATGGGAAGCAATACTGTTCTTCTGTTTTAGCCTCCAAGGTCTTCACTTGGGACCATAATTTTTGTTTTTTAAAAAGTTTTTAAAAGATTCCCATAAACTAGAAGTTTCTGACTGAATTAATACCTAATTTAGATTTGAGTAGTTTTCCATTTACAAAGATCTATTGATGGCAAGTACAAAATTTGTGTAGAGATTTTAGGCTCTCAAAGAAATGCATTTAAAATTGTTTGAAGGTGATTGTTCCTGTTTATTCTTCCTTTGTTACCAATGAGAAAAAGATTTTTCTACACTTCTTGAATATGTAACTTTCTTGAATGAGAGAAAGGAAAATGTGAAAAGAAAATGCAGTAAAAGAGCAGGGTGACAAAAAGATGAGCAATAATATTAAATAAAGTTAATATTTATATGCTAATGCTATTAGCATTTATATGCTAATACTTCCATAATCACAAATTATGTCTTGCTCTCCCCAAATGATAATTCTGCTTGCCTTGGATTTGCTGTGCAGTGCTTTTATTAGCAATTTTGGCTGAATGTGGAGGTTGCTTGCGTTTTAAATAGCGAAGGTGAAATTTGGTGGATTTCTAGAGCATGTGGGACAATTATAGGGGATTTTGGGGGGAGTGTGGAGTCACAGAGCAGTGACATTCCATGGCTTGGTGGTGCCAGCAGGACATTTACAACAGAAAGTAAATCCCATAAAAACCTTACATCTACTGGTCCTTTGTGCTTATCTTACTAAAAACCCAAGACTTTGAGCAGACATTTGTATCCTCTGTGAAATTCCTGGAGTCATGGTTAAACAGAAATGGCAGAAAATCTGTTTGTGGCCCAAAGTGGAAGCGTTTGGACTCAGATTTGTCACATCCTGTGAGTTCTGCTGTCCTCCCAAGCTGAAGCTGTTGGTTCCTGATGGTGACACATCCCTGGGAATATCCAGGGAGCCCAGCTGGAATTCTGAGGTGTGTGCTGCAGTGCTGGGGGCTCTGGGATCCCTGTCCCTGCTGGGAAGCAGACACAGGGCACTGGGAACTGCAGAACTCGGCGTTGCAGACCCAGACAGGTCCTTGCAGCTGTGTCACAGTCAGCTGGGAGCAGCGTCCAGCTTTTCATTTAAAAGCTGAGATAAAATTAGAGACAAAGGACTTGGGTTTTACTTGAACAGATTCAGCTGGGAACAATTCCATTCGGATTATGATGCCACAGATTACAGCTGCCAGCCCTGAATCTGGGCCCTAGGAGTTCCTGATTTACAGGAATACTTCCCCTTCCCTAGGGTAGAAGGACACTTCTTGTTCTTCAGCCCATCAGTCCCTTCCCCAGGAGGACACCAAGACATCAGTCCCCAATCCCAGAGACACCAAGTGCTGAGTTTTCCCAGTGGAGCTTCCCTTGCCTCTGTGAGGGAGGATATAAATGCAGGATATAAATACAGCCAGGGTCTTGGAAGGGAATGGAGTCAGTTTTTGATGTGAACTTCTCTTCTTTCACCTCTTGGGCTTTCCATGTGGGTCAGAGCTCGGGCCCAGGTGTCACATCAAGGTGTGGAAACACCTTCAGCTGTGCTCTGCCCCACCTGTGTGCTCAGAGCCATCAATGTGAGCTCTGTCAGGGCACAAACTGCAGAACCAGGGCTGGAACTCCACAGTCCCCCCTCCTCGTCCCCTGAAAACACAAATCATGACTAAAAAGTCTCTTTGTAAAATCTTCTGAAGCTGTTTGTTGCGTTTTGAAAATGTTTTTCTTAGATTAATATCAACATATGGAGTTTTCTGCTAAAGATTTGTTAGTATTTGAGCTTGGGAAGAAAATGTTTTGTTGTTTTGTTGATTGAGCTCTTCCACTGGAGAAAGCTGCTAATTTTAGCTGGTTTGTAAGGTTTTTTTCAGAGACAGTAAGTGCCAGCTAAGCACTTACACATGCCTGTGGATTACAGGCTCCTGTAATTCAAAAGAACAATGATTCCTGTTTGTTCAAAACCCCCACGTATCAACCTAACACTGTATGTTGGAAATTTTGTTGTGCAGGGGATGATTTCAGCAGGTGATTTTAATAGAGAATGCATGTGTGCATCAAACTTCCCCTGGAAATCAAATGCTCTTATTTTAGGTTTACATTATTACAGCCCAGCAGTTCTTGTAGCAAGCTTTACTGCACAGCCATCATGGTATGATAAACAACTGAAAGCATCAAAAAGAAAAATGGAAAAAATACTGAATAAAATGAAATTCAAAATGGACAAACCTGATGCTAAAATGAGGGGGGAATGGTTTTATAGCGATAAAATAGTAAACCAAAAAAATGATTTTGTGCTACTTTGATGTACAGTAAAACAAAATAACACTAGCATGGTGTGAAAAATGAACAGGTTAATGGTACCTCTGTGGAGTGCTGCTGGAAGTTGTCTTCATTTAAATGCAGAGTTTGTCGTGCTTTGATGGAGGGCTTTGCCACTGTAACTTGATAGAGTGAAGTTTAACTTAAATTTCTTTGTGAACTAGAAGTCATTTTGGAAATGCTTTCTATTCAAACCTCATTCATTGTTGCAGCTTAGTTATTTTATACAGTGTTTCACTCTATGTTGTCAAAAGCTCTATTATTCAACAGAGTAAAATCTGTTATGACCAAAGAGAAGCAGCAATACTTTTCCAAACATGAGGAGGTTGCATTTTTATTAGATGGTTTGAGGAAGAGTCGATCCAAATGGGTTTTTTTGGCCTGTAAATCTGTGTTATGATGGCAGTGGAGGATGGGGACATGTACACACACTGGTGGAAGGGGTGAAGGGGATAGCTGAGAACAAGAGTTCAATAGAACCAGCCTGTAAAGGGGCCTATGATATTTTGGATTAAAATCTGCGTTGATAATCCACAAACTGGTGAGTTTTTTGGCAGGTTGGGCTAACACTTGTTTGATCTGTAGTAGTTAAACCCACTAGTCAGTCTGTGAGGTAAGGTAAGTGGTGAGCTTTGCTAAGCTCAGGGTTGAGTTAATGCTGCCTTCAGGAGGAGGCAGGTGCCTGCTATGGTCCAAAGCAAGGTTTGGGGTGATGCATTCAGGGTTTCAACTCCATCTCCTCAGGACATCACAGCCTGTGATTTTCTGTGTTCAGGTGCATGGCAGAGACTGTGGAGCAGTCACTGCTATAACCCCTCTCCACTGAGCTCCTCTGAGGTCATGGAATCCTTGGATAATGGAAAACCTTACTGCTGGCTCCTGTGACACCCTGCAGTTCTTCCCTGTTTAACCAAGCGATTTCTCCCTTTTTATTTGTCCTCGGCATGAACTTCTCTAATATTTATTGTCTCGTATCACTGATAGTTCATGTATTTCGTACAAATGGATGCTGTGTGTGGGAAGCAAACATTTCCCCAAGAAAACCTGGTTGTGTTCATGTGTGCTCTTGTGCCAGCAGCTCCCGCCCAGGCCGGCCCCCGAAGCGCTCGCTGGGAGTGGCGATCCAGGA